ATTTGAATCCCAAAAAGCCGGACATGTCTGGGAAAATCCGGACGTATGGTAACCCTACCCAAACGTATGTTGTGTAACATTCTATCCTTCCAGAGGATTTGAAGCAGTGTGGCAACACAGCACGTGGATACAGTGGGAGAAACTGTCAGACTGTATCTTCTCTAAATAAAAAACAATTGAGGGCAGGCTTAGTGAACAGCAGCTAGCCTATACTCAACTGCTTTCACCTACTCTGCTTAAACCATCCCAGAGTTGCCAGAACTTGTAACCCACCCTTTGGCCCAAGGCAAGATGACTGTTGTTTGCCTCTACATGCACAACCCATATAACTCAGTACTTCCAATAGTAAATCCTTTTTTAAGATAATGTGCCCTTTCTTGGGGGATGGGAACATAGATATACAGTAAAAATAACATGAAAATGCACACTGATTTCAGACTTGTAAATCAGTGCCTAAAAAGATATCTGCTTGCAGCCTTGTTATTCTGAGATGGTGAATGAACATTGCTAGCATTTTTGCATAAATGCAGAATTCAGGATAAAGTATGCTGCTTTATTCTTTCACAGATGCTTATGAAACAGCTAAGATGTTGTGTGAGCAGTACTATCTGGTTGCACCAGAGTTGGAAGTTGAAGAATTCAATGGTAATAGGAAGTTCATTTTATTTTAAGTGCTCTAGGAAATACTGGGGAGGGGGGTATATAAGTTTAATAGAACAAATATAATTGCTAGCTGTTTAGTCAATAGATAAGATTTTAAATTGAGTTACAAAGATCATATACAGAGATGTCTCTTTCCTTGCCCTCCTAATTACTCTCCCTTCTAGGACAGCAAAGAAGTTAATTAGTTAAATAAAGTGATGCCAGTGGTAGGAGCACCCTAACATAGAGGAGTATTTGTTTAATACTTGATGCTGAGGGGAAAGTGCTGCATGATGAATCAAATATCACTTCCAGCAGCTGCATTTGCTTTCCTCCGAGTTACCTTGTGTAGGTAATTACCAGGCCTCATTCTACTTATCTTCTGATATGACTGCATTCTGTGTTTAATTGTGAAGTATGTTTTCAAGTTCTGCTATTACACGTTTGGAAAGTGAGAGAGAACAGTTATACAGTTGTCTTTATTTGTTACAAATTCAGCTTACTACAGTAGATGGAGTGAACTGTGATACCACAAGGGGAATATGTTGAAAAAACTTTTTAGCTAACTGAAGTTTTATTTATTTCTAGCTAAAGCTCCAGACAAGCCTATTCAAGTAGTCTATGTACCCTCACATCTGTTTCATATGCTATTTGAGTTGTTCAAGGTAGGCAAGATTTATTAATGCTCTGATTGTAATTGCATGTTGTAGTTAAGATTCTTCTCAGCCATAATGTTTGCAAAAAAAAATCTTCCTCGTGTTCTCATATTTTTTGTTTTTGAAAGTTTGGAGTGATGTGATGAAAGTTAGCCCTTGAGCCCTTCCCTAGTGCACACACTTCACACTCATTTACACTCCAGTGATGGTTGTACCCTTTTCTGCATTTGGTTAACTCAAAACAGCTTGTGGTAAAATTTCTAACACTAACCTTCATGGTACAGTACAAGACCTTATTATTTTGCTCAGGATTTGTGCCTTATTGGATGGTTTAAATGCTGGGATATTTGGGTGGGTGCTAGTTTTCCTCTTGAGGGATGTCAGTTTTCTTTTTGAATGGTGTAACTTTTAAAAAATTGTTTACTAATTTTCAGAATATCTGACAAGTTAAACTGTAAAGCAGAGAGAATAGGAGAGACATTAAACTGCAAAAATTGTATGTTTTGTGAAATAATGCGCAAGTTCCCTAAAAGGCATAATTGGGCACATTTTATAAATTAAAGAAAATAAATAAATTCAGTAGAAAACAATGTGGAGTTTTTCCAAAGAATATATTTTTCTTTTTGTGTTCTCCGTTAATATGCACGTACTTGACTGCTATCTTTCCCCTGTCCGGTCATGAGCTATATGATACGTGACTTTCTCTAAGACAGAGTTGGTGCCAATTTGTGGAGTGATGCTGTAGATGTGTTTGTAAAACTATAAAATATCATTCATGCACTAATATAAAAGTCAAACACACAGTAGTAGTTTTAAGTGGTGTTACATTTGTGATGTACTGTGAGTGCAAATTGCGTTGATTAAATGACTGCAACATAACAGTTTTGATGTGGGTCAGGCACATCAAGGCTTTACTATACTTGCACTTGTCATTTTCAAAGTATAGTGATTTATTTCATCTATATGACTAATACAAGTGTTAATTTCTGTACTGTGGAGGTGGGCGGTCTTGGTATATTTAATGTAGAAATACATTTCTTTACAGTAGAACCTCAGAGTTACGGACATCTCGGAAATGGAGGTTGTTTGTAACTCTGAAATGTTTGTAACTCTGAAATGTTGGTAACTCTGAAATGTTGGTAACTCTTAACAAAACACGGTTGTTCTTTCAAAAGTTTATAACTGAACATTGAGTTAATACAGCTTTGAAATTTTACTATGCAGAAGAAAAATGCTGCTTTCCCTTTATCTTTTTAGTAGTTTACATTTAACACAGTACTGTACTGTATTTGCTTCTTTTTTTTGTTTTTGTTTTGTCTCTACTGCTGCCTGATTGTGTACTTCCAGTTCCAAATGAGATTTGTGGTTGACTGATCAGTTTGTAACTCTGGTGTTCATAGCTCCGAGGTTCTACTGTATTGTTTTGTGCTTTATGGTATTGTATCCAATAGAAATATTAAGTTACTTACAGTAAACTATTACAATATAAAAATGTAATAAATTGATAGTTGACTTGCTGTCAAGTACATCTTGAGTTCACTCAGGTATACCCTCTTCCGTATCCATGTATACAAATTTAGGGCAGTTTTATTCACAAGTTTTTCAGAATAACACAGTGAAAATGTATCCGATTTGTACATTGTTACTAAAAGTATTTATGGTAAAGTTGAGGTGGAGAATATATCAGAATCTAAAACATATGGTTTTAACTTTAGAACTCAATGAGAGCTACAGTGGAATTACATGAAGGTAGGAAAGAAGGCTATCCATCAATTAAAACATTAGTCACTTTGGGGAAAGAAGATCTATCCATAAAGGTAAACTAATAATATTTTTAAATTGCTGAACTGACTTTCAAAGTAATGCTCACATTAGTAATGTTTTTGATAAATTTATCTTTAATTTTACAAGGACTAAATTATGTACTCTGTATAGGTTCTGGCACTCATTCCATTTGTATTAATGTTTATACAAGTAATTTAAATAATCCTTTGTCTGTATTTGATGCTTGAACTTTCTGTTCCTGAGCAGATATTGAGTGTTCAAGTAAAACCTTGACTTTTTTCTGTAGATAAGTGATCAAGGAGGTGGTGTCCCTCTGAGAAAAATAGATCGTCTGTTTAACTACATGTACTCAACAGCACCTAGGCCTAGTTTGGAGCCAACAAGAGCTGCACCTTTGGTAAGCATCTGTGGGTCAGGGTAAAATATTTTTTCAGAATGTAAGTGCAGTTACACTCCTCTAGTCTCTCTCCTAGAGTAATCTTTTTTCCTACATTAAAACTTCTTGATGTTTTTCTATCACAGAAATTGGATATCATCAGGAAATCTGTGTAGGCAAAACTTACCAGGAGAAAACGCTGCTGATTCTTCACTATTATTCATTTTTAGCAACTTAACTTTGGAGTAGGAAATTACTTTCCTTTGAGTGTCCTGAACACCATATTCTTGGAAATAACTATATCTATCTGCAGTACAGCATTTTAAAACAGATTAATGTGAAAGGTGTTTAGTATCTAAATTAACTAGCCTATAGTATTTTGCATATACACCAAATAGTAGCCAATTAGCTGAGCCACTTTTTTCAGTATTATAGCACTTACAGAGCACTGCCCGTAAGTAGGAAGTGAGTTTGTATCAGATTTTTTAAAAATGACTTTTATACAGGTTTAAGTCTTTGTCCTCTAAAAATAAAATGAAATCAAAATTTGTTTGTAATGTGTGGTGTCACCAGCTAACTCATTTTAGTCTTTGCTCTTTAATAGTGGCATCTGTCAATCTATTCCCCTTCAGTAGTATCTTCTGTGCCAGATTTACAAAAATGTTCAGCACCTGGTAGCTCCCATTAAGAACAATGGGAGCTGCTGGATGCGGAATACTTTTCAGATTTGGCCCTTCTGTTATGTATGATTCCTTGTTACAGGATTTATACATTTTGTATGTATTGGATCATTGAAAAGTTGGTCTAACTAGTGTACCACTTGGCTGCCATTATTTAATAAGAGGATTGGTTAATGACCTACAGTACACTTGCCTCTAATCACAGATACCCCTCTTCTCATCTTGTTTGTTCTGTACAGTTTTTTATGCAGTTTTTATCCTTGAGTATGTCAAGTAAAAAATGGTATCTTGGGCACTCTCCTCTTCATCTTTTAAATACTCTCCTACCAATCATGTTCTTGTGTGGTATTTGGTGGTGGTGGTGAACTCCATTAGTTTGTTTTGCAGTTTCTAAGCAAATAAGAAGATATGATGCCTGCCCCAGAGAGCTTACAATCTAGTTCATACACGTAATGTTTTTGGCATGGAACAATCTCATTGGTACAGAGAAAATTACTGTTTTCCTTCAGGTTATTTGAGTGGAGAGCTTCAAGGCTCCACCTCAACCATCTGCTTCTCTTTTTGGGTATCACATTGTTTGCTTCAGTCTCAGATGCTCCTTCAGTGCAAATGAACCCCAATCTACATCTCTGTTGACTTGCACTTTCATCTTTCTATAGCCCATCTTTCTAACTATTGCTGCTTTTGACTCTTTCAAATTCTAGATTAATACCAAATGCTTCAAAAACAGAAGTGCTCTTTTTCTACAAAATCCTCTTGGATAGTTAACAATGTGGAATGGTCTCTTTAATTCAAACCTGAAGTTTGTTCCCAGTATCAGGAATTGTTTAGTTCTCCTTGACTCCAATCTCTCTTCTTACTGCACCACCTTTGTCTAGAACTCATCCATACCATGAAACTGATAAAATCTCTTATTCATTCCTTAATCACATTTTGTCATCACTACTTTAATTTCTCCTTTTATGGTTTTCCTAAACTCCTGCTCTTTTAAACTTTGTAAGATCTAGACAATTATGAGCAAATTATTTCCTGTGTCATTTTCAGTCGCTTCTTTTCCATCTGTGAATCCAGTTAAAAACCTCTTTCCTGTCTTTCCTAATTCTGTATACAGTCATTCCATTTAATATCTAATCTCTCATCCACTTAATCCATACCTTCTCACTTGGGACCCAATCCTGCAACAACTGACAAGCATGCTTATTTCTAAGCATGTGCATCAGTGCTTGCAGGATTGGGGCTTTTGCTTATCCAGTTGTGTCATCTTCTATTTCCCCTGAGATTCTACAAAATTCACGGGGTGGGGAAGGTGTTACTATTATACTTGTGCTGCCAATCTGTGTGGGAACTCCTTCCCTCTAAATCACTTTCTCTCTAGGAATTCCACTGTAAAATTTGTCTGCCTGTAATTGATACTATATTCCACTTTCATTTTTTCCCATACCAATTTTTTTCCATGAATGGAACCTTCTATTTGTCTCCTAATCTACAAGCCAGTTGCAATTCTATAGCAGGGATGGCCAAACTTACTGACCGTCCAAGCTGCATATGATAATCTTCAGATGTTTGAGAGCCAGGCGTGCCGGCCAGGGCCCCTACCCCATGAGGCTGAAGCACCAGCCGGGGCTCCAACCCCGAGCTTTCCCCCCCAACAGGGCAGAAGCCCTTAGGCCCAGCACGCACCTTCCACGGGGCTGAAACCCCGAGGCCCACCATCCTGACGCTGGGCAGAAGCCCTGAGTCCCCGCCCCCAGTCTGGTAGATGGAGAATGGGGATGTGGGGGGGCTCCGCGAGCTGCAATTTAACTGTAAAAGAGGCTCACGAGCCGCAATTTGGCTACATCTGTTCTATAGCATTTATACTTCAGTTTTCTTCTACTCTACTCCATCTTCAGGCATCATTTACCTCTTCTGCCCATATGAGCAAGTGAAAGAAGGAAAGAAAAGTGATCCTGGCAATTATTGCCCTGGAAGTCTGACTTCTCCCACCTATGGTAGTGGACCAAATATTGAGAGAGAGAGAGAGAGAGAGAGAAGTCACTGAGCTCTATCACTACATGGCCCATGTGTGTTCAGAAGGAAATATCAAGAGTAATGAGAACCTACAGCACAGATATCTAAATAGAGTGGAGAGGATTTCCAAAGCGAGGCTCACCATCCTGTTTCATCCAATGCAGGAGTTGAGAGATATAAGACCTATTGCTGATTCCATTGTTGAGGGAGATGATATGGTCAACTGCTCAGTTTTTTGGCCACAAAATCAGATCGTTCAGGATAATATAGGAAAGAATTTCCTGTTTAAATTGAATCATTCAGCCCATCTATACCGTAGGAAGATGTTTTTACATGACTGAATATCAGAGACCATAAAACTTAACTCAATAAAGACCCATCACTCCCGCATAGGAAGGAAGGTCTATACTTCAAATGATTGTATGATACTTATTTTAGTTTATGTAACATATATCAGAACTTGTCGTATAATGTAAAATGATTACTTTTATTTTTCTGTTTTAACTTTCTCTCCCATTTTTTTAACCGAGCCCATACACAATGTATGAAACGTTACATTGATTTTGGTTTTTGTTCATTGATGAATGTTCCTTCTATTTCAATAACTTCTGCTACAAAATTAGGTCAGTGGAGAAACCTTGTTACCATGGTAGCCAGTCCTGGTGGTAGGCATCAGCAAACTAAGGAATTGCTTAGGGCCTCCCGCTACCCCCATTAATTGTTAGTATGTGTTGTGTGGGGGAGGCTCCAAAAATATTCCTGCTTAGGGCCCCCACTGGGCTAGCATCGGTGCTACCAGCATTCTGATCCTGACAAGGTCTTGGGATCTATGTATTTGTAATTGACAAACAACAATTGAGTCCATTAACACTTATGTTTAATGACAGTTAAATCTTTACGAGAACGGTTTAAGTCACACATTTAAAATCTGCCTGATATATACAAGGTAACTATTTATAGTGGGGAAAATGTGCTTTAATTTAGATCTAATAGATATGCTAATAGAGCATGTTTAATACAGTGTGGAATACATTTCCCATGTATCTGCTGCACAGTCTAATGCGTGATGAAAGATTGGTGTTAGAAAGCTTGTTTTCTCAAAGACCAGAGTTTTGCCCCCATTGCCTGTATTCTGTGTCCTAGAGCAAGGACAGCCCTGACACAGCAATTAATGTGTGTTAGTTGGCGTACTTTTACTTGAGAGAACAGTGTCATGTTAAAATAAGATCTCTGGAATCTGAACCTTGTGGCCTTCAAGGTGTCCACCAAAACACTGCATGAAAAATAGGAAGTCTGCTTTCCGAAGAGTGAGCTGGAGAATATTTGGGGAAGCTTTTGGGGTAGGGGGAGCCTATACAGGAAGGATGGGCTCCACCTAAACCAAAGTGGAACCAGACTGTTGGCACTTAACATTAAAAAGGTTGTAGAGCAGTTTTTAAACTAGGAGATGGGGGAAAGCTAACTGCTGCAGAGGAGCATGTGCTTCGGACAGAGACTTCTCTTAGAGGATTCTATTGATAGAGATTCTCTAGGTTCTAGTCAGGAGCAGAGGATGGAAGAGGATAATGTAAGGGCCAGATCAGATGAGAAACATTCACATAAAGAATCGGACACATCAGAAAAGGGCAGACAAATAAACAGTGATAAGTTTTTAAAGTGCTTATACACAAATGCTAAAAGTCTAAATAATAAGATGGGTGAACTAGAGTGCCACGTGATAAAGGAGGATATTGATATAATAGGTATCATAGAAACCTGGTGGACTGAGGACAATCAATGGGAGACAATCATTTCGGGGTACAAAATATATCAGAAGGACAGAACAGGTCGTGCGGGGGGGGAGTGGCACTATATGTGAAAGAAAATGTAGAATCAAATGAAGTAAAAATCTTAAGTGAATCCACATGTTCCATAGAATCTCTATGGATAGTAGTTTCATGCTCTAATAAGAATATAACATTAGGGATCTATTATCGACCACCTGACCAGGACAGTGATAGTGATGATGAAATGCTAAGGGAAATTAGAGGGGCTATCAAAATTAAAAACTCAATAATAGTGGGAGATTTCAATTATCGCGATATTGACTGGGAACATGTCACCTCAGGATGAAATGCAGAGACAAAATTTCTCGATACTTTAAATGACTGCTTCTTGGAGCAGCTGATACGGGAACCCACAAGGGGAGAGGCAACTCTAGATTTAGTCCTGAGTGCAGCGCAGGAGCTGGTCCAAGAGGTAACTATAACAGGACCGCTTGGAAATAGTGACCATACTATAACAACATTTAACATCCCTGTGGTGGAAAGAACATCTCAACAGCCCAACACT